GTCACACGTGTTTCTTGGAAAAGCAGTGATTTTTCTGGGAAAAAGCAGCTGCATGAGAAATAGGGTGGTTCGTGTGCCAACAGGCAAGAAGATAAAAAAAAAAACTTTGAGGGTTAGAGATGGAGCAAGGGAGTGAATATTCCAGAATCTTGACCGCCGGAGGCGTCCCCCCAATTTTTCCCTAATGATAGAGCCAGCCTCACTGACCTGTGTCGGTTCAGATATGACCACAATAACAAGCACTTTCTTGGGTGTTCCTCCCCTCCCCATGTTGCAAAACCAAGGCAAGAACTAACATGTCATAGAGACTGACCGTGGTTTTCCGAGCCGGTCACTTGCAGAATATTTGTATATCTCTCTTTGCAACTTTTTACATTTCCCTTTGTTAATCTTTAGCTGGTTGCTTTTCCCTGATATGGGGAAAAAAAGAAAAAAACTTTGCTAGGGCCCCAAGTTGGGGGCGGGCTGCTATTAGAATTTATGTTGCCGTGGGCTTTAAGGAGAGAAAGTTTTTATGGTCAGGGCTGACATACAAGAAAGGCATGTGGGAAAGCACCACAGTGTTTTATCGGTTTAAAATACCTTACGTGCTTTTATAGAACTGCTTAAGTGCTGAATTGGGAGGGGAGAAAGGTGCGTTTAGTGTAAGGAGACGAACCAACTGCAAAGGAAAATAAAAAACGGGACGTGCTTAGTGCTCTTTCAAGTGCCTGTCTGTGTGTGGTTGCTGCCCTCTCGTGGCTTATGACGTGGCTTATCACAATTCTTATGACAGGTAACAGGAGTGCACCTTCGGGAGAATGGAAAGAATAGGGGAGGGAGGGAGGGAAGGAAAATAGAAGGAAGGAAGGCAAATGGAAAAGAAGGGGAAGGAGGGAGGGGAGAAGGAAAGAAAGAAAGAAAGAAAGAAAGAAAGAAAGAAAGAAAGAAAGAAAGAAAGAAAGAAAGAAAGAAAGAAAGAAAGAAAGAAAGAAAGAAAAAGAAAGAAAGAAAGACAGGAAGGAAGGAAGGAAGGAAGGAAGGAAGGAAAGACAGGAAGGAAGGAAGGAAGGAAGGAAAGAAAGGAAAGAAAGAAAGGAAGGAAGGAAGGAAGGAAGGAAGGAAGGAAGGAAGGAAGGAAGGAAGGAAGGAAGGAAGGAAAATGCCCCCTCGTGGCTTTCAAGAGAAACAGGAATGCACCTTTGGGAGAATTGAAAGAATAGGGAAGGGAGGAAGGGGGGGAAAGGAAGGCAAATGGAAGAGAAGGAAGAAAGGAGATGGGAAGAGAAAGAGAGGGAGGGAGGGAGGAAGAAGGAAAGAAGGAGATGGGAAGTGGCAGGGAGGGAGCAAAGAAGGAAGGCAAATGGAAGAGAAGGAAGGAAGGAAAATAGAAGAAGAAGAGAGGAAGGAAGGGAGGGAAGGAAGGAAGGAAGGAAGGAAGGAAGGAAGGAAGGAAGGAAGGAAGGAAGGACATCTGAGGTCTTCAACAACCATCAGCATTCCTCACTGTCCCTACCACTGTGAAACATCAATTGAGGAGAACATTTGTTCTCAGGGTTGACCTGTGGAAGGCCTTAGTGCTCTCTGACTTTGTGTTTTTCTTGCAGACATTTCATGACCCAACTAGGTAACATCATCAGTGCTAGGGCGGTTGCGAGAGGAGGAGGAGGAGGAGCAGGAGGAGGAGCAGGAGGAGGAGGAGGACTGTGGGGTCCTTGGTGCTCTCTGAGCTTGGTGGTTTTCTTGCAGACGTTTCATGACCCAACTAAGCAACATCATCAGTGCTAGAAGGGAGTGGGGTTTGTGGAATTGAGGAGAAGGAAGAGGAGGATGTTGGGGTCCTTGGTACTCTCTGAACTTGGGGGTTTTCTTGCAGACATTTCATTACCCAACTAGGTCAGCACTGCCAGTACTGATGATGTTACCTAGCTGGGTAATGAAACGTCTGCAAGAAACCCCCCCCCCAAGCTCAGAGAGCACCCAGGACCCCACTTTGAAACATTCACAACATCTGGAGGGTGACAGATTTCTCTAGAACCCTAGGAAACATTAAACCAATCCTGTTCTTTCCTCTCTCAATACAAAAAAGGGAGGGTAATTTTCAGAACACTGAAACAGACCTTTGACTCAAATCCTGCCCCCAAACTCCTTTTTGATCCAAAAAATAAATAAATGCTGCTTCTCAAACATTCTGCAACCTGTTGGAGAGCCTGGAGGTGCCTATTTATCCAAGCCCTCTGCAAATAAAATTCCGAGATAACCCTTCCGTGCTCAACCGGCGAAGCTCTTCAAGGTGAAAGATTGGCTTCCAAAATGCAATCCCTTCGTGTGCGTCGTGTGACGCTATTCTCCAGAAATAACCCATCCACCTTTTGTCGATCCCAAGATTCGTTATCCACTTGTTGATTCATTTCCATCTCCTCTCTTGCTGCGACAGGCCAAAACTGCGTTTACCGGAAGGCTGAAGGGGAGAGTCTTTTTAATTCTGATCATGATCAGGGCAATTAATCACAATCATAATCCTTTGTTCCCTTCTCAGCTGAGCATCGAGTAGCATCAAGCAGGGGCTGGAGATCTCATTTGCAACCCCTCCAGTTGCCTATGAAACTCAATTCAGGCCAGAAAAATATCACCTAGCAGAGGCAGACTATGCTATTTAGGACAAGCGACCTGAAGCCAAAAGACGTTGGTAAAGGGTCAAAATGTTTAGACAGCCACAGCTCCGGTGTTGAGATTAAGGAACAATGGCTTTGAGCTTTTATAAACATAGAATCAAAATCCCGTGAAGTATTAGGACCGCTTTATAAAACCCTAGTAAGACCACAACTGGAATATTGCATCCCGTTTTGGTCACCTCGTTACAAAAAAAGATGTTGAGACCTTGGGAAAAAGTGCAGCGAAGAGCAACTAAGATGATTAAGGGCCTGGAGACAAAAAAACATATGAAGAACGGTTGCAGGACTTGGGTATGGCCAGTCTAGAGAAAAGAAGGACTGGGGGGGGGGGCATGATAGCAGAATTCCAGTATTTGAGGGGCTGCCACAAAGAAGAGGGGGTCAAATTATTTTGCAAAGGGCCAGAAGGCAAGACAAGAAACAATGGATGGAAACTAATCAAGGAGAGAAGCAACCTGGAATTAAGGAGAAACTTCCTGACAGTGAGGACAATTAACCAGTGGAACAACCTGCCTCCAGAAATCGTGGGCACTCCATCACTGGAGGTTTTTAAGAAGAGACTGGACAGCCATTTGTCTGAAATGGTACAGGGTCTCCTGCTGGAGCAAGGGGGTTGGACTAGAAGACCTCCAAGGTCCCTTCCAGCTTTATTCTGATTGATTGGTTGGTTGGTGTTTTCTGAAGCTTGTTCCAACAAGCCATTGTTAAAAGCCTTCTGGAGTTGTGGTAGGTTCACTGAGCTTCCCAAAGGAAAGGGATCCATCATCCCCTGACATGGGATGAGGTTTTCTACCAAGATGGAAGGCCAAGGTGGTGGAAACAGATTCTGAATCTTCCACCTATCCCATCTAGCAGTGCTAAATTCCCTCAGAAAACCTGATCCAGGGTTTTTTTTCTATTTGATCTGGTGAAGCTGCCTTTGAGCCAACATTCACCCAGGCCTGACATTTGGCCTTGGCGTTTCCTGACTTTGCCAAGGTTTTTATGAAGACTGATTTTTTTTTTTAGAAGGGTGCTCCACAAACAAATGGAGGAACACGCATTGGCCTATCTCGGGCCAAGCCATTGATTTTTGTTTCCCGTTTTCTAAAACTCTCAAGCAAAGCTGGAATCACAAAGCTAGAGACCTTCCAGGCGGCGTCAAGAGCAAACTTGATGCCATGTGGTTGTGTTGACCATCCCCGTGATCTCTACTTACTGAATTTGCCCCTTCCTGGAATTGGCACAATGTCACAGCAGACACCAAGAGGTTGAGTAGACAAAACAGGCTCAGCCACACAACAGACCTACCGTCCCAGTTAAGCTAGACAGGCTGGACCCCTTCTGTAAATGCAGCCGGTGGGTCTTCAGCATGTGTGAACGTACCTAACCAGATGCAGCTCCTGTTTCCTGCAGTCCTTTGCCCCAGGTCCTTTTCCAATCAGAATACAGCTGGAAGGGACCTTGGAGGTCTTCTAGTCCAACCTCCTGCTTAAGCAGGAGACCTCATACCGTTTCAGACAGGTGGCTGTCCAATCTCTTCTTAAAAACCTCCAGTGTTGGAGCAGCCACAACTTCTGGAGGCAAGCCGTTCCACTGGTTAATTGTTCTCAGTGTCAGGAAGTTTCTCCTTAGTTCCAGGTTGCTTCTCTCCTTGCTTAGTTTCCATCCATTGCTTCTTGTCCTGCCTTCAGGCGCTTTGGAGAATAGCTTGACCCCCCTCCTCTTCTTTGGGGCAGCCCCTCAAATACTGGAAGACTGCTATCATGTCTCCCCTGTTTCTTCTTTCCTTTAGACTAGCCAAACCCAAGTCCTGCAGCCCTTCTTCGTATATTTTAAGTCTCCAGGCCTCGGATCGTTTTAGCTGTTCTTCTCTGAACTTTTCCCAAAGTCTCAACATCTTTTTATATATATATATATATAGTATGGTGAGCAGAATTGATTGCAGAGGGTGAGATCAAAGCGAAGGCAAGGTGAGTGGCGCGCCAGGGCGCCCGAGCATGTGCAGAGAGAGAGAGAGAGAGAGAGAGAGACTCAGCCTCCGGGCGAAGGGCTTGGAGGCAAGCGAGGAAAGAGTGGAGCTGCGCCAGGTAGGGGCCAGCCTGGGGATGGGAGATCGGGGGCCTCTCCCTTCGCCATCCCCTCCCTCTCCTGCTCCTTTTTTTTTTTCTTCCTCCGGGCGCCCCTCGCCCGAACGGGGCGGACCCAAGCGCTGGAAGGGAAGGAGAAGCGGTGCGGAGAGGCAGAGGAAGCTCAGCTGGGGACTGCCAGCCAGCCGGGCTGCTAGCCACCCAGCCGGCCGGCCCCAGCTCGCTCGCTCCTCCCGCTGCCCCGGGCCGCCGCCCCCCAGCCGCAGGACCCGGGGCCATGGCGCTAGAGGCAGCCCCCTTGTCCCGGCTGCGGAGCCGGCGCGCCGCCTGGCTGAAAAAGGGGGTCAGCTTTGACTGCGAGAGCGAAGGAGACCAGTAAGAGAACGGGGGAGGGGGCGGCTGGGGAGGGGGGGAGGAAGGAAGG